GTCCTCTAGTCAATTGCACAGCATGACAATACAGGGGAACAGTCATTTCTACCACCTGGGGAAAACATCACAGTGCCTCCTCACTGGCAGCCACTGAACCAGCCTGATGCAAGCTCTGCTTCTGTAGTACAGTGCAGCAATGTGTTTGTGCCTAACCTGCTGAAGAAGCTTGCAGCTGGTTAGAGTTTGAGGCAATGGCCCTCTGTCTGCTAAGCAGGCAGCTGAAAATTCCATACTCAAAGCTTCCCTCATTCCTCAACTCCTTTCTAGCTCCTCCCCTCACATGTCCTGCATTCTAGGTCAAACATACTTAAATATAGGTACATTGTGAATCAGCGAGCATTATATAATGATCAGGCAGGAGGGACCTTTGACAGTGTTATGTAATGGAGCAATGACTCCGGAACCACTTACTAACTGTGTGACCTTAAGCCCAGTCCAATGCTATGATTCAACGTCTTCATCTTAAAAGAGGAGATGAGAAGGCTTCTCAAAGTTGCTGTAAGGTTCAAATACAAAGCGTTCAGGACAGCGGGCAACACACTGTAAGTGCTGACGTGTTTTTAGGTAGTAGTCTTAGCATTAAACTGGTAAATGGCATTCCTTTTATTGGGGGAGACACTAAAGTTAAAAACGGCCAAGGGACTGGCAGTGATGAAGCTACCATCCAAGTCCAGCTCTCACTGATCCTATCCAACAGCCCTGCATGAATGACACTGACCACATTTTAGGTTTTAAAAGATACATGGCACAACACATATTGTTTGATTCCTTTTAAACAATCCAAATTTATTTTTCTAAAATATGAAAAGAAATCTCAAGCACAAATCCCTGAAAGTCCACTGTTCTGTACTTCAAAGGGCAAGATGGCCTGAAAGCTTTTCATTTTTCTTTCATTTTTCATTAAAGAAGCCTAGTAACTAGAAAGAGGCCTTTCTTCTCTTCTTCTGTTCCTGCCTTCTTGAATCACATTCATGCTAGAAATTTGGATGCTTTTCTCAGGGCCTGAGAAACTTTGAGTAATAGATAGTTATAAAATAACCACACTGTTTGCCAAAGTACAGAAGGAGATACATGTTAAGAGAGAAGGTCTTACTATGCAGCCCACACTGGCTGATAATGCCTCAGCATCCTGAGTACTAGGATTACAGACACGTGCCACCAGCATGCCTGGCAAAAGAGAAACACCTGGATGATTTTTTGTCCAGTAGGCAAGCTCTTCCACTGAGCAGACTTGTAACCAGAAAACTTTGTATGCTACAGAGTAGCTCACTTAAATTTCACACACACACCAGTGCTTACATAGGACCTGGTAAGGCTCCCTCACCCCGCCCTGGTGTATTTGTTGTTTCCAGTTAGAGGGATCCCCTTTCCACACACTCCTGGCCCCTATCCTGCTCAAAGCCCTCACACAAGCACTCCTGTGTCACAAAATCTTCCACACTGCTTCCTACTGCATTACTGCCTTGGCCCACACGGCTGCTTAGGTAGACTCAGCCTTCTGATTCTACTTACTAAAGCAGCTTTTCTGAACAGCCCAGGACTAAACCTTGCTGTCCACAAGCTCACTACACACATTTGGAACTGGCTCCTAAGTACTTACCCAATCTTTCTTACCGGCCAGCCTAGGGCACAAACAGGGCAGAGGAGCGGTCTGCCTGCTTATTTCCTCTGTTCCTAGCACAGTGCCCAATAAAAAGCAGTTGGCAAATTAAATTATCATCAGGGTTGCAGGTGGCAAGAACATGTGCCCAGCACCACTCAGCCTGGGTAGATCCCTAGTACCACAAAAGAGAAAATAATACATTCTCCACAGATTCAATGGGTAAAGAGAAATACTAAAGTTTTTCATTCAAATTTGACACCTTAGCTTTTTTGTTTGTTTGTTTGTTTGAGACAGGGTTTCACTATGTAACTCTGGCTGTCCTAGAACTCATTAAATAGAACTCTAAAAGATTCACCTGCATCTTTCTCCTGAGTGCTAGGATGAAAGATGTGCACATCCTGTGCCAGACACCTAGAAATTCTTATTGAGCTTTTCATAAGCATAAGTACACAAGCTACATAAAAGAATAGTTTATGAGCTCTTTTTGGAGAAAAATTTAGAAGGAAAGAAACCTTGGACAGGGTTATGTATTTTAAAGTAACTATAAGTAGGCTATAAGAAAAAAAAAGTTTTAAAAATGAGCTTCATACACCACATATTTGAGTCACAGAACACAGTGTAACCAAACCGGTACTTCATCCCTACTGGCTAGCTTTCCTAGCGCTGGAAGGTACTATGCATGCTAGTAGGGGAAAAAGCAATCATCAATATCACTCAGCTGTGACCCCTACAATAATGGCAAGCTACAATAATGACTGGCTTGATACGATATGCTCACTGATACAACAGTGGCATGAATGTTACAAACATAATTAACCACTTTCAGATTGGATCTAAAGTTTGCTCTATGAAATGGAACCCATTCCTGGCACTATTACAGGGCCAGGAATCTATGGTTAGATAAGTGATAGCTTTAAAAGGAGAACCTAATACTGTTATTCTGCTAATGGACTGAGCATTAAACCAACTTCTAATGATTTACTTCTATACCCATAGTTCAGTGCAGTGCTTATCAGAGAAGTTTCTCATCACTGTAGATGGCAATTAACACAGAGATTTCTCAACTGGCCAATGTGCAAAGAATAAGAGGCAATGGAGTGCTCAGTCCTTAATGGAACACACATATCACACCCTACTCCCAAGCCCCAGGGCTCTTAGGGGAAGAATAAGTGAAAAGATTGTAAGATCCAGAGGTGATGGATAACATCAAGGAAACAAGTGTTTTCTGGACATAACAGCACAGCTGCACGTAGGCACCCCGTGATTGTGACCACATGCCTTAGACTGGAGCAAGCTCGAGCCAGACAGAACCCCAGCATGTAGGAGGGGTGATATGAAATCCCAGCACTAGCTGAGGAACTACTGGCATTTGATAGCTGCTGGGAGAGGGAGAGTCAGTTATCTTTAATGGTGTGATCCTTGGCAGGCCACACTCCCAAGAGTATTTGAGCAACACTAGCTGAAGGAGATGGAGGAGGAGGACTTCAAGTTGGGTGGGGAGTGAGGGTGGAGAGGGTGGATATGGAAGGAGTTGGGAAAGGGGAACAGGGATGCACATGATCAAAATAAATTGTGTGACACTCTCAAAGAGCTAATAAAATATTATTGTAAAAGCAAAGGCTTAGGAAAAAAAAAAGCAGCAGCACTTCCACTGAAGCTCACCATTCACTCTCCAACAGCTCTTTGTGGGAGACCAACAAGCAAAGGAGAGCAGAGGGAACAAGGACTCATGTGATCTTTCTAAGCTAGAGCCATTCTCTTCCAAAGTAAGACCATTGTCCAATGAAAGGAAATGCGCAGACCCAACAATTCTAAGCTTGTCCAGAAGAGTAGCCAGTGATGTGACAGTCTTCACAGAACTGCGAATGGCACCTAAGCCAAAGGAACAAGCGACAGTGGCTCCCATGCCCATCTTTAGGGATTCACCCTCAAAACAGATGGCATGACTGCTAGAAAATTTTCGGTGCAATGAAGGGTACAGAAGATGTGGGGAGAGGGGGCATTTTACTACCAAAACTTTCTATTCAGAAAGGAGAGGGTAAGCCCTGTGGTGGTGGCCCAGCCTTTAACCCTAGCAGAGGAAGAGATAGGACGATCTTTGAGTCTGAGGCCAGCCTGGCCTGGTATACAAAGTGAGTTCCAGGCCAGCCCAGGAATATGCAGAGAAACCCTGTCTTAATAATAATAATAATAATAATAATAATAATAATAATAATAATAATAATAATAATAATGAAAGAAAATTGAAGTGGGACAAAAGAGAGTGTTGTGTGGGAGTGAGGGTGGGATGGGATGGGGGTGGGCGACAACAAGGGGGGTTGACTCAAACCATAACCTCAAAGGAGAATGGCGGGGTCAAGCCCTCTCTCGGATAAGCAGCATGCACTAATCTGCTTCCAGCATTCAAGAAACTGGAGCCCAGCTTTGAGTTATCTGCATCGCACCTAATCTCTCTGCTGACATCACTGAAGATCCTTGGAGTGAAGGCCAGGTCTTAAGAAAACACCTCCCTCACTTCCTCTGGCAGTGATTAAAGGAAAAAGAAGTAGCTCGGTACTAACCACTGCAGCACTTGGAGAGACGTCGGGTACACGCCGACAGGTGTGCTTCTGCCCGCCCTGTGCTGCCACTTCCTCAAAGCCAGCTCTTCCCTGCCACACACATCTGTCCTCACAACAGATTTGTCCCGATCAAAGGGCGGGGAAACTCCAGCCTTAGCTGGGAAGACTTCTGGTTTCTGCATTCCCACTGACACGACGCATGTTAATCCATTTTTCAAAGTAAAAAAAGTCTAACTTTAAAAACGCACCGATCACTGTGCATAACATAATGTATTAAATACCGGCTGGCCGGATGAAAACAATGCTCATTGAGAACCATCTTCAGAGCTAAGGAACAGTTCTAACTTCCAGATAGTTGAAAAGCGCTTCCAAGCTCTAGAAAGGGGGCAGGGTGCTATTTTAAGCCACCATGCCGGGCAAGACAAGGACACGGTTGCTAATATCTGCATTCATCTTATGACAGAGTTCTGAAACAAAAGAAATGTTCGGAGAGAAAAGCCAAACGCCAGCGCACACTCCGGGGCTCGGGGCGGCGCAGCTGGAGCCCCGCTACCTCACTCCGTCTGCAGGGGGATGACCCTGAAGGTGCCTAGGGAGAGTGTGTGCGTGGAGACTCCGGAATTCCTGGGGCTGCAGCTGCTGGCGCTCACTCGGCACCGTGCAGCTGGGCTGCGGCCCAGGAGAGGCCGCCCCCCGCCCAATTCGCGAGCTTGGGGTGGACCCCGCGGCGGCCCCGGGCTGCCGGCTGCACCCGGTGCCCCAATCTCGGTCCGCGCGGCGAGGCGGCGGAGGGCGCCGCCTGGCGCAGGGCACACTCCGAGGCCGGCACTCACCGCTCAGGTAGTTGGTCCACTTGTACAGCACGCCCTCCATGGCGCCCGCGGGCCCCTCGCCGCCCCGGCCCGCCGCGGGGACACCGGGCCGGCCTCACATCCTGGGCCCGGGGGCGGGGTCGCCGCGACAGCCCGGGAGCATCAGCTTCGGGTCGGGGGTCTGCGCCTGCGCCCGGCGCGGTCGGTGCGGACGCGGAGCAGCGGGCGTCGGACGGAGGCGAAGGAGGCGCGGCCCCCGAGGCGGCGGTCGCCGGCGCCCTACCGCGGCCACTGAGCCCACAGCGTCCGCCCCGGCGCGCTCGCGCATGCCCAGTGCGCCGTGCGCACGCTCCCAAATCCACGCCGGGGTTTGGCCGCGGCGCCGTGGGGCCGGCGGGCGGGGCTGGGATGCGGAGGCGGGTAACGGGTCACCCCCGGATTCTGGTCTCCAGGGATCCAGTTTTTTTTATTTCAAGGTTGTCAGTGTAGCATGATCCCCGCTGAGACCCCGAATCTTCGGATGAGGCAAGTGTGTGGTGCGTTTCCGGATGCACCTCCCGTGGGAGGCTCTATTCAGACTGTTGGGCCTCTTGACTGGAAGCTTGGTCTTGAACCGCTGGCATTGACTTCCAGACCTTGTGAAAATCGGCACTTTCACAAGGTCCCCTGGGGAGTGTCTGTGCACAGCAAAGTGTGAAAATGCATTGTTGTCAGGATCCGTGTTGCCAAGAAAAGTGCTGATCACCAGTTAAGTAGAAGGAGAATCTTGAAAAGGAGCACACTACAACCCAAATGCTAATGTCACAGAAATAAGCGCTGAAGTGCTAAAGTGTGGGCGGTGCCCCCCGCCCCTCCGTTAATGTAAGGTAGACAGATTTTGTAAGTAATATAGACCTTAATTGGTTGTTTACCTGAGCAGCATACCTTGCTTAAATACACTACAGCTGAAATTAGGGTAACCTTGTAGAATTCTCAAACACGAATGCCATTTCTTCTTTAAAGAGAGACGTCCTTAGCCATTATTTACTCTACACTTAGGTCACTCAAGTGCCGAATTATTAGCAGTCATTGACAGGGATGTTTGTAGAATAGAATCAGGTCTAGCCTAGACGTGGAGCACAAATTATTTTCCCCCAGGTGACCTTAAGCAGGGTCCTGACTTATAGCCTTTTTTTTTTTTTTTAATCTTATTATCTGGGCTAGTTTTATGCAACTTGACATAAGCTAGAGTCATTTGGAAAGAGGAGCTCCGAACCGGCATAAGATTTACCTGTAGGCAAGTCTCTGGTGCAGTTTCTTATTTATTGATTGACGTGGGAGGACCCAGCCCTCCGCCATCACCAGCGGATGATGCCATCTTTGGGCAGGTGGTCATGGGTGCTATCAAAAGGCAAGCTGAGCAAGCAAGCAAGCAGCACTCCTCCGTGGCCTCTGCCTCAGTTCCTGCGCTGACTTCCCTGGATGATGGACTGTGATATGCAAGTGCAATCGACAAAAATCCTTTCCTCCCCAAGTTGCTATTGGTCATGATGTTTTAACCCAGGAATGGAAACCCTAACAAAAGACACCATTTAAATCGGAAAAGTAACCACGTACAGTTCGTGAGCATCCTGCACCAGAATGTGCTTTGTGAACATTAAGGCATCCTTGTAAGTCCTTAGAGTTTATGTTCTAAGTTACTAAACCGTAGTTCTAAGCCTTTGTGGCATCTTGAAGAGAGGTGCTCTCCAGTGTCTGGTCTTTCCAAAAACCCAAGTGTCACCTGGTCTTTATGTGGCTCCGCTGGAGTTCTTCCCAGGAGCAAAGCCTCCCCACCCCGACACGCTGAGGCGTTTCCTGTTAGCTCTGCACCCAGCTGCCCTCCGGAAGTGGGAGAAGTTCTCAATCTGCCGGCTCTAGGACTGTGCGGAGCAGCAGAATCCGGCCGCCCGGCCCAGCCCTACACAGAAACTCGGCATTGTTGCAGCACCATTGGCTGGAGAGGCGCCTGAGGGACAGCCCCGCCAGCCAGTGGAAGGCCGCCCTTGCCAAGCAGCCCTCTCATCAGAGCCAATCGTGTAAGGATGGGGCTTTAACTCTTTAAGGTGAGTTGGCGGCGTGTGGGAAAGTTGGTAGTAAAAGTGCCACGTCTTCCTGGGAGGGTGAAGTTGTCCTGAACTTGCCCGAAGCCATCGTCCGCTTTCAGCACCGTTTTAACTCTATGAAGGAGGGGACCCTTTCTCTGTTTAGGTAACATGAGGTTTTTCTTGTGGAACGCGATCTTGACACTGTGGGTCACGGCTTTGAGTGGAGCTATGATCCCTGAGCCAGAAGTGAAAATCGAAGTTCTCCAGAAGCCGTTCATCTGCCATCGGAAGACCAAGGGAGGGGATCTGATGTTGGTCCACTACGAGGGCTATTTAGAAAAGGACGGCTCTCTGTTTCATTCCACGTAAGTAATTATGCCTCACAGGCAGCCGATGAAGGACCCACCCATTCACACCATCCCTAATGCTGTAAAACAAAACAAACAAACAAAAACTGAAACGCCTGCTTCACCTTGAAGAAAGAAAATTGTCAAAAGCCAGTTCCACAGAATAAGGCCTTGAAAGGACTTTATGGACACATGTAGTCTTGATAAATTAATTTCCTTATAATTCTATTCTCTATAAAATTAGATCTAGAGCATTTCAAGTTTTACAGAAATGCTTAAATTATAATTAAGCAGTAAGTAGAAAAGCCCAAACAGAATTTTCTATCTTAAACTCCATACCTTAAATAAAACATCGGATTTCACTTTTAATTGGGCATAAGACATATTAAAATGTGTCTGTCATTTTGCTTCAAGAGCAAAATGCACAATCACCTGTTTGCCTGCTTCTAGAAGATACACAGATGCTGTACCGTTGACCCGGTTACCTTTCTGGCAGGTGCTGTTTTGGTCGAAGTACAGGATGGTGAGTTCAGAAGCCATTCCTTTCTTCTACAAAGCCAGCCTTGATGGAGTAGGTGTGGTTATAAGTCATCATGGAAGGACGTTCAGGTGAAGTCACCTACTAACCACCTGCGTCCATTCATTCATCCAGCCTATGAAGCCACATCTCAGACCTGGAGATGTGAAGTTTACTAAAAACAAGTTCTGGTCCTCCAGAAACACATCATGTTCAGGGAGGAGGAAGACAGAAGAGGACTCAATGGATGGAGAGTGCAGAATGTTCAGATCACTGGCAAAGCACAGGGAGCCTGTGGCCCGTTGTGCTGCAGGCGGGTGATAAAAAAAGAGTTTATAACACAATAGCCTTGGAAGTGATGAGCAGAAATTATCAAGGCAGAGCAGCAGGAGGAGGACTTGCCAATGAGGGGATGATAGCCTGAAGCTTGAGCTCATCTTAGAGCCTTAGATTTGTTTCGTTTTAATAAACTGCTGTGAGACATGGTCTTCTGTGAGGCTTGAGGGTAATGAATGGTAGTCCTCTCTAGTGTTTGCTCTGGTAAAAGCTTCCAAAAATAGTCTGTCGTAGCTTTGTTCTTCTCAGTAAGGCCAGTGCATGGTAGATAGTAACCACGACTGTGACATTGCGCTTGAAAATTTCAGTTACAGCCTTACTTTCAGACTGATCACCTCCATATCTAGCCTAAGTTCTTTTCTATCTCAGGGCCAAAAGCTTGTGCAGATATTTTGTAGCAGTGTACTGCTGATGTTCTGGTACTTGGTGAAGGGACTGTTCTCATCCAGCTTTCATGTAGTCTTAGGCCTGGCTAAGTGGATATAATGATAATGAAGAAATATCGTTAAATAAGTTTGCAAAGCGTGTTTTGTGTGGCCAGAGGCATCATCTATACTGTGACTAGTTTAGTTGTAATAAGAAATGTGGCCAGAATGTAGTTAGTGGGAATGATTGCTGCTTCTCTGTTCTTTTTGCCTCATGATTATGAGGGACCATGCAGTAAAAGAAGAAGGAATGCCTGGGCAGTAGTGGTGCACACATTTAATCTCAGCACTGAGAGTCAGAGGCAGGCAGATCCCTGAGTTTGAGGTCAGCTACGGCTACACAAGAAACCCTGTCTTGAAAAACAAAACAAAACAACAACAACAAAATGCTGTTTGTCCAGATTTTGTAACTATGGTACCCATAAACTTAGTACAAGGATGCTCTATTCACATCTAAGAGTTATCCTGAAATAGGACACCTTCCATACTGAAAGGAATGAACTGCCTAGGAATCCTCAGCTCTCCAGTAGTTGAACTATGCTTGTTTTACAGGATGCCTGGATGCCTAGACTGTTCTTTCCTCTCCAGAAATTGAGGGGCTGCCTCTCCAGGATTTTCTGAGTACCCCCATAGTAGATCTTTGGAGAGGGTCTAGGGTAAGTGGAGACTTAGGGTGAAAAGCACACTTTTCCATGCATCAAAACCATCAGTAAACTGCAAATCACAAAGGCAGGAAGTAAGATACTCTTGTCTCTATGTCTGGATGCAAATGGACCTTCAGGTGTCAGCAATACTTCTAGCCTTTTATCTTCCTTCTCCAACTCAAGACATTCCCTGAGGTTTTTCTTGGTCTGTTGCCTTTGGGAAAGTATGACTTTGCCATTAAGACCTTGAACTTAGGGGTTATGTATATCTGAAGTCAAGTACTAGTAAAGTTAGCATCCATTTTCTCTGTACAAAGGCTAGTACTGGAATAGCGGGCCCTCTTTCAGCAGGTTCTATGCCTCAATTCAAATCAACTATAGATCCAAAATATTAAAAATATATATAGGTGTATATATGTATAGGTATTGAACATATGGAGACTTTATGTTGTCATTCTCCAGCATAACAACCATTTATATAGCATTTATATCATAGTATGTATAATCTAAAGATGGTTTAATGTATAAAAACGATTATGTGCAACTACTGTGGATTTGAGCTCCTTGTGGCTTAAAGGATGGAGGATCAAATGCTGGGAACAATTTTCCGAGAATACCAATCAATGATAGGATTGTCACTGGAGTTAAAGACAAATTTGCAATAGTACTTGCTTTAAAATACATGTTCAGATTAATTACTATTCTCTCTGACTTCCTTAAGCTGACTCAATTTATGAATTTTTCATAAAAGTGGTCAGGGGCTGGAGAGATGGCTCAGAGGTTAAGAACACTGGCTGCTCTTCTAAAGGTCATGAGTTCAATTCCCAGCAACCATATAATGGCTCGAAACCATCTATAAGATCTGGTGCCATCTTCTGGACTGCAGGTGTACATGCAGGCAGAATACTGTATAAGTGATGAATAAAGAAATCTTAAAAAAAAAAAAAAGTGGTTAGAAAAGTGAACTGTGTGTGTGTGTTTCCAATTCAAGAATTGTTCTCCCATCAGGGTATCAGGACATATGCTGATATTCATAGCTAAACTTTGGGCAGAATTTAGGGAACCTTACGAAAGAAGGGGGAGATAGAAAGACCTGGAACTCCAGAAGGAGAGCAACAGAACCAAAAAGTCTGGGCATGAGAGTCTTTTCTGAGACTGATACTCCGAACAAGGACCATGCATGGAGATAACTTAGAACCCCTGAACAGAAGGAGCCCATGGAATCTCAGTGTCCAAGAGGGTTCCCCAATAATAAGAACAGAGACCATCTCTGACATTGACATGAACTCATGGGCTGGCTCTTTGATCACGTCTACCTGAGGGGGGGAGCAGTTTTACCAGTCCATAGAGGAAGATAAAGAAGCCACTCCTGATGAGACATGATAGACTAGGGTCAGATGGAAGGGGAAGAAGACCTCCTCTATCATTGGACTGGGGGAGGGGCATAAGAGAAGTAGAGGGAGGAAGGGTGAGATTAGGAGGGGATGGGGGAGAGTGCTACAGGTAAGATACAAAGTGAATAAACTGTAATATAAAGAAGATTTAAAAAAAATAATAAAACAATAAAATTGAATTAATACCAAAATTTGTTCTTTTCTTTAATTTCTAACTTCATAAGCTTAACCACTAAAGGGTGGGGAAAAAATGAAGCACAGCAGTGATCTTTGTTTTTAAGTCACTAAAAATATCTCTAATATAAAGTGCTTACCTTAGCATGCATGGGACCCTGGCTTCAATTCCTAGTGATTCACAAAACAAAGCAAACTTCTAAAATTTGGATTTTTTTTTTTCCTGGCAGTCACAAACATAACAATGGTCAGCCCATCTGGTTTACCCTGGGCATTCTGGAGGCTCTCAAAGGCTGGGACCAAGGCTTGAAGGGAATGTGTGTGGGAGAGAAGAGAAAACTTGTTATTCCTCCTGCCCTGGGCTATGGCAAAGAAGGAAAAGGTAAAATTGTATAACCATCACTGGTGTGCATCTCCAAATGTTTCCTCTCTCTCAAAAGGGAACCCACCAACTCACTTTAACAATGCAAGAAGTCCATCTAACAAAGTGTCTTGATGGTTTGAACATTTGGAATATAGGCCATTGGATATGGTTTTTATGTATGGCTATATATACAGGAAGTCTTCCACACTGTAGCTCTCATTGGGTGTCCTTTTGTTCTTGCTTTTAAGTGTATTTGTAAAGTTTTCAATAGCCTTTTAAATTGTTATTTATTTTCATTTTTCAAAACAGGGTTCTCTGTGTAACCCTGACTGTCCTGGAACTTGCTCTGTAAGCCAAGCTGGCCTTCTAACTCAGATATCTGCGTGACTCTGCCTTGCAAATGCTGGGATTAAAGGTGTGTGCCACCACTGCCCAGCTCAAGAGTTTATTCTAAAATAATGCATTGACTTGGATTGAAAAGAATTCTCACCATGTTACAGGCAGGCTGGCTTGTCCACACAGCTTTTGTGCCAGTTTGTTCCAAGGCACAGACACCGGGTACTTAAGCTAAAGTCACGCAGGTCTCCAAGGGCTGTTTGGTGAAGCTTATCAGCTGGCCCAAGATGTAGTTTCTTCTCCGGAACCTGATCTGAGCCACTGAGCAGATCTGAAGAGACTGGTTTGTGTCTACCACTGTGTTGTTATTAAAACAAGTAGAACAAAATTGAGTGTGTTATAATAGGAGGTTAGCCAAAGAAGATGCAGGTCATGCATTAAAAGTGTCATTTGCAAAAGTTAAAAATTACATCTTTGGTGTAAGAGTAGCAAATAGATTTTTCTGTCTGTCCAGCTCCTGGTATGAGGGAGGATGTGCACACAGAAAGAGGATCACAATGAATACAATATTCTGTGTGCTGTTGATTCTGAGTCTTACATTCATTTCTGATTCTATCTTCCAAATTCTCTATAGAGAAAATGTAGTACTTACACAGTGAAGAAAAAAAATTATAAGAAGCTATCAGTAGGAGGCAGGGAATCACTCTAATGTGGTATAAATAGGCCTCACCGAATTTTCCAGCTAAGCATAGCCATTGACAAAGTCCGGATCGAGATCCCTTGCCCCCACTTCCTAGGGAGGTTAAGTGCTGTGTATGATTATGTCGTACTCCAAAGCTGGACTAGCTCTCTAAGCCATGTTCCACAGGCTTAGTTCTTAAACAAATTCAATTCTAACGGTATTTTCAGAGAGGAAAAGCCAGTCTCTAGGAAAGGTTTCCCTGCGCCTAGATGTCCTCTTTATCTTTCCTGTGTCTCTGGTCTCTTGCTATCAACTTCACGTGTTCAGCAGCAGTAGTACTCCGTGACGTACTTAATTCAGCTTGACTTCATAGCACGCAGCGATCTAAATCTCAGTTGTTGCCTGCGAGGTCATGGAACTAACTCTTCTAATACGTATTTCCCACTAATTCTGTAGTGTTTTAGAGTGTGCTTGCATGCCTCCTGGGAAAGATGGCAGCTTTCCCACCAAGCTAGTGCATGCCCCTTTCCTGTCTCCACCGGCAACGGTAAGCTCTAGCTCACACTGTGAGCGTTTTTTCCTCTTAGAAACTTTCTGTCCTCTTGTAGACTCTGAGGAAAGACTTGTCTAACTAGTGTGCCCCGACCTTTATATTAAGTAGAGTTGTGAGAAAGCAGGTGAAAAATAAATGCCCAAAATTCTCAGAAAGGTTTGTACTTGGTTTGTATGGTTATTAGTTAGGCTTTTTTGTTTGTACCTCCAGGTTTTAACAGTTGTTTTTTTTTTTTAACTCTTAAGAAATTGTTATTTTCCTTTTCAGAAGTACATTTAGATTTACCTTTTCTGAAAAAATGGCTCAACAAATGCATACAGTCCTTTTGTCAGGAAGTATCCGAAGTTTTTGAAAACTTTGAATTTTTCTTTATTATTTTTAAAACCCAAAAAGAAAATATCTCAGTAACTTATATCAGGCACTTACTACTTATCAGGAATGACCCTGAAGGTTTTATTTTTGCATGGGTTTTCCCCCCTTCATCCTTCACATGGATGCCGAAGGTAGAAAATTACCAATCATTTTACTGACAGGAAGGAACTGAGGCCTAGAGGTGGCAGAGATGAACTTCACTTACACAACATGTCCACCGAGCTCACACTGTTAGATACTGCCTCCCAGTGGCAGACGGTGCCAACTTCTGAAGGTCAAGACTTCCTGATCTAAATTAGTAAATCTCTTGTAATGTAATTAAGTCTGAATTACTCAAAGCCCTTTAAAAGTCGTTCTTGACATGTAAACACGAAGGGCCTTAATTATATTTGAAAGTTAGCATCAAGGCTTTTCGGAACATCTTCGTAAATGCCTACGCATGCGTTTCATTGTTAACCCCCAGAGTGCTTTGCCAGTGTAGGTGATTTCTTCTTTTGTTCTGCTTTTCTTCCCTGACTAAAGTGTCATTATAGTATAAGTGATTTCTACCACCTTGACAATCAGAGAGAACCTCTTCATTTCATGTAGTTAAAATGTCTGTTTCTGTATTTGATTTTATTTGTGATTTGGTTATATTTGTTATGAATAATTTTATATCTTCTGAATAAAAATTTCCCCATCTCCTCATCTCAGGTAAAATCCCCCCAGAGAGCACACTGATATTCAACGTTGACCTCCTGGAAATTCGAAATGGCCCACGGTCCCATGAGTCATTTCAAGAAATGGATCTCAATGACGACTGGAGACTCTCCAAACATGAGGTGGGCCTGCCATCCGCCTCCACTCTCTTCCTTTTTCATTTCCTTTAAGGCCACCTTTTTAGCTCCTGGGTGAAGGAAAATGAGTTTTCTTCAGTGGAGTGACACTGGGTATGTCAACCACAGGCCAGGGCAGGCCCTGTGCTCAGGAGTAGTGGCCAGTACAAATCAGGCCCCATGGTTTTTAGTGGCTTTTTTCTTCATTTTTAAGAGAGAGAAAGAACATGAAATTGTTGGAAAAGAATGTGATCAAATATACTATACAAAGTTATCAAAGAATAAATAAGTAATAAGGAAAATTTATTTTTATTTAGGGAAAATTAAAATATTTTATTTAGGGAAAAATATTTACAGCTTTTTCTAAAGTGCTTTGAAAGTTGCCTTTTAATTTTTTTTTTGTAGGAAATCGCTGCTTAGGGGAGAACTGTATTGACTGAGAAAGCGTGTTCAGTCTCTTGCGTCTCCCTTCTCACCTAGGCTTCATGTGTCTCATCTTCCCCTTCAGATCTGAGGAAGTTTCATGTTTTCATGAGAGTTATGACTGTTTGAGAAGCATGTAGGTCCTGAGAAGTTTCTCATGAGGAGGACAGTTTCTGTTTAAAATGGCAGACTGTTGAGTGTGTGTCATAGTACATTCCAATAAGCAGTTTACATGACCAGCTTTGTTGAAGTCAGCCCCAGGAAGAGGACTTTCTGGATCTTCCCCAGAGGGACTTTCCTCAGTCTGAAGCCATGACGTTTGGGGTGGAAGGAAGGAAGAGGGCTCCTCCATGCCTCAAGCCTTCACAGCCACCACTGGCTTTTGTGGAGAAAGAGGAAGAGGTAGAGACAAGCCCTGCAGTTCTTACTGTGCCCCAGTCTGCCATGGCCATGTGGATGCCCAGGCATTTTTAATGTTGGTGAGTTTCACTCTAAGTTCATAGGGTCCTGATTAGGCTCTCTTGGTATGGCATATGTACACCAGGTACACAGTTCTTTCTACTTGTAGACATGGGTTTAAATGAAAATGGAGACTATACTCTTATTTTAGGATGAATGTCTAGAATTCTGACTCTTCCTAGAAAAGAAAATGTGATGAAACCAATGTATCAAAAGCAGCCATCCTTCACGTGCACAGCTTTGTTTGGACTCCGGCAGGAGCAGGCAGTATGAGCTGCTGAGCCAAGTGGGCTGAGGACCAACTTGACCCAGTGGCCACTCTGTAGGCCACGCTGCTGACTGGACTCTATTTGCTTATTTATTCCATCAGAGAGAGCTGTGTTCCCTGGCCAGGCACTTTGGCAAAGCTCTGGTTATTTGCAGTGAATTTTGGAGAAAGGTCTATTGAAGAAAAGCCAGAAACATTTATAAGCTCTCTTGGGAGAATACTGGAAGTGACAAAATATTTTTTACAACTGTTACGCAGGCATTCGGAACTTAAGCTCTTGTCAGTACTTGACTTGCTACAAGAGGTTCTGTGATAGGTTCAGAAAAACATAGATTCGAGGCATCTACACTCATGTTTTGGGGGTTCAAAAGTAGAGAAATCTGGAGTAGTCTCAAGTGGCTGTGGCTTTCAGAATGAATTTTCGTATGTGCTGAGTCAGTGGATTCTGCTGGCGAGGAGGGATGCGCTGCCTTCACGGTGCCTCCTTCTTTCAGAACTTTGTTCCAGGGCGTTGCTGCCCCTTCGTGGAGCAAGGTGGTCCCTGCAGAGTGTAGCCTTGTGCCCTGTAGATATTATATAATATGTATGTTTTAAAACTATTAGCTTTTGGCTTCTATAATAATTTTTGTTTTTGTTTTGTTTTGTTGCTTTATGAGACAAAACAGTTTCTCTTTGTATCCCTGGCTGACCTAAACTCACTATGTAGACCAGGCTGGCTTCAAACTCAGAGATCTGCCAGCTTCTGCTGGCATCAAAGCCATGCACTATCATGCTTGGCAGTATAGTATTTTTTATTACACATTTACCTCTTAGTTTCAGCAAAGTGAATTAAAGCATTAGTGTAAGCCAGGAAACATAGCATAATTTATTTAAGTTTTTTTTTTTGATCATTGCATGTCCAAAAAATAATACATACACATAAAAGAAAAAAATAAGTTCATAAGAATGTTCCTCTTGGGGCTGGAGAGGTGGTGCAGTGGTTAAGAGCCCTGGCTGCTCTTCTAGAGGACCCAAGTTTGATTCCTGGCACCTACATGGCTTACACCTCTCTGTAACTCAAGTTCCAACTGATCTGATGCCTGATGTGTTTTTTTTTTTTTTTCTTTGACCTCTGTGGGCACCAGGCATGCACATGATATGCCTACAAACCTGCAGGCAAACTCTCATAAAATAAAAAATAAATCTTAAAAAAATAATTTTCCTCTTCTATAAGTTAAACTTTCAAGTAAGATTTAAAAAAAAAAAAAAAAAAAACTCAAATCTCCCGAACTCCTGGAAGCTTTATGATGCTAATAATTTCTTTAAATTGTATTTTTATTTAGTGGTTTCAGTATAATGCTATGAAAATATTAGCCAAACCTAGCAGAAAAACGGAATATGTATGGTATACTTAAACATTTTAAAAGTTACATTAGTCCTCTCAACACTTTAAAATGCTGCCCAAACACTTTTTTTAATCCTACATTTTTATTTTTCATTAAATCAGGATGACAAGCAATTTGAAAACCTGATTGAATAAAACACCAAAATAAACTTGAATTTCATAACACTGACTGTTTCTTTCCTCTCCTTTGCACCCTTCATTGTACTTCAGTGACTGGATGGCTACATATTCTATAGGCATCCTGCAGCAAGCAGCTCTGTCCGAGCATGGTGGCCACTAATGCTTTACTTGTACGTCACACACGGTGCTGTGGCAACGGGACTCACTGCACCATGTTGAGATAATAAAGAAACCCTTTTCACACTTGAAGAATAGTAGTAAATGCATTTTTGAGTCAGAGAATATTGGTGTATAATCTAGAAATTAAAAATGCGTGTAAGTGGGAGCTGAGGAGAGGGCTGTCGGTGGAGTGCTTGTCATTCAAGCTTGATGGCCCAAGTTCCAGACCCAGAACCCGAGGTGGGAAAAAAGCTGGGTGTGGAAGTGTGTGTGTGTGTATGTGTGATCAGAGCTGGCAAGTGGTGACAGGCAGATTCCTGGAGATTGCCAGTCAGTCAAAATGACCTATTCAACAAGTTCCAAGTGAGAGACTGTGTCTCAGAAAACAAGGCTATAAGGAATTGCATCTGAGGTCGACTTCTAGCTTCCAGATACATGAATAAACACACACACACACACACACACACACACACACAGCCCTGCACAAAGAAGCAAATTTAAAAGGGCTGTGAACAACAGAGTCTCAAATTAAATGTGGGCTTCTTAGTGTAGAATTATAAGAATAAAAGTGAATCCAGCTTAAAAGAAGCAAACAGGCTGGGGAGATGGCTCTGTGTGTTCAGTGTTTGCCATGCAAGCATGAGGACGTGAACTGGGATCCCCAGTTCATGCAAAAAGCAGAGTGTGATAGTGCATGCCAGAGTCCCAGCACTGGAGAGGTGGAGACAGGGAGCGCTCTGCATCCTCCTTGTTAGCCAGCCAGGGTGGCAATCAGTTCACAGGTTCAGTGAGAGATGGCATATCAAACAAGGGAAGAGTGATGAAGGAGATACCCAGTGTCAAACACTGGTCTCTACATAGAAACACACACATACATACACACACAATGCACATACACACACATGCCTGCACACAAACACACACTTTTTTAAAAAGGCAGGAATAGGTTTTAATAAAAACCTTATATTTTAAGCAAAGATTATATATGTGTATATGATATAAGCATTATTTTTGGTACATTATATTTGCATTATGTTTGCTGTCTCCAACATAGCCATAAAGCAAAAGTTTGTTTTACTTCTTTAGGAACTGGTCACGGGTTATTTTGTACTTGCTCTGTATCATTGCAATAATGAGAGTCGGGTACTAACATGAGCTGTTATTTTGTAGGTTAAAATGTATTTAAAGAAGGAGTTTGAGAAGCACAGTGCAGTGGTGAATGAAAGTCATCATGATTCTTTGGTGGAGGATATTTTTGATAAAGAAGATGAAGACAAAGATGGATTTATATCTGCCAGAGAATTTGTATATGTGCATGATGAATTGTAGGGAAGCACCTGCCATGTTATACACATTTGTCTAAAGGGAAGGTGGCATCTTTTTTTTTTTTTCTTCTTTCACTTTGGTTTTTTGAGACGGAGTTTCTCTGTGTAGCCTTGGATGTCCTGGACTGGCTTTGTAGACCAGGCTGGCCTTGAACTCACAGAGATCTGCCTGCCTCTGCCTCCCTAAGGGGAAGAAGGCATTTCTTTCTTTCTTTCTTTCTTTCTTTCTTTCTTTCTTTCTTTCTTTCTTTCCTTCCTTCCTTCCTTCCTTCCTTCCTTCCTTCCTTCCTTCCTTCCTTCTTTCTTTCTTTCTTTCTTTCTTTCTTTCTTTCTCTTTCTTATTTTTCTTTTTTTTTTGAAGGTGGCACCTTTAAACAAATCTTATTTTTCTTTTTTTTTTTTTGAAGGTGGCACCTTTAAACAAAGTGTTTGCTTTGCTTTGTTTGTTTTTAGTTTTATATAATTTTCTATTATTTAAAGAAACACAGAGACTTTGTAAATATCTGTATCTTCCTGATAAGTTATTGGGAAGAAACAGTTGTCTTTGAGTAGAGGACTTCTGGGCCTTTTCCATGTTCACACAGAAGCTTGTCTTGCTGGCTTCCTTTTAGTGGAACATGTTGCAACAGCAGATGAACACAGTTGCACAAATCAGTACCCTGTACTCTGCCTCCCTCTGTTTTCTCAAAGTCAAGTTATTCACACACTCAAATGCCTCTGCTGTCTTCACCTTGCAGTGAAGTAGTTTTTTCTTTACTGCCTTGCAGTCTCTGCTTGGGGGCACGAAACATACGGTAGGCTTTATTCCATAACAACTTTGGCCTCACTGTGGAGATTTGCAGTGTGGGGTAAACAATGGAGTTGCAAGCTCATGAATAGGTGTGCATTGAAACATTCTGCAGAGACTTCCTAGTGGCTAATGACTTATTAAGATGAGTCAGATAAATAATTTATGTGGTCGCTTCCTTGCATTCAATGCTTCCTTGTAATCAAAACTATGGTAGGCATGGCAGAGAGTTGTATTTATAGTCAATGTTTACTTTCAAGGCTATCAGGTTTAGGCTTCTGTTTCTTCAATAAGTAATGTTTACAGCTAGTGTATTACTTTGCAATAACACTGAATCATGAGAGAATTTAGTATGTCAACTGGACTTTTCCCGTTTCTGACTCATCAAAAATGAGGCTGACCAATAACAACTATTCTCACAACTAATCCTGAGTTTGAAAATTGACTTTTATCATTTTATCTCAAATTGGCTTCTAAAAATTATTTTGTTAGGAATAGTTTCTCATACTTTATAAAATGTATCAAGTGTACTTTGCCTGACTGGCAGTGTTCTGACAGCCATGGGAAACAGCTTATGGTACTTCCTTATAGATGAGAAGTGCTGTAAGAGATTGACTGATGAGCCCAGTGTTGGTGGTTAAGCTGTGGAAGCATCTTTGTTCCCTGAGGTCAGTCTTTCACTTTTCCACTAATGAAGAAGCAGGGCGTTTGCTTGAATCTGTTGGGCCCCATTTCCCTTGGGATCTTTACCTCTATGGACAGTTCCTGCCTCTTCATGGCTGATCACAGCTCTCCTTAGGATTCAAGAAGGTCTGTGTTTTCATAGAATAATCTTCCCATTTGCTTTGAATCGCCTCAGTCTCCCTCCCAGTGACCAGTGAGAGGGGCCAGGTTTTAGTTCACTCATTCCTGTCACCTCTTTTTGTTTGTAGAAATTAGATTGCTTCACTAATTGACATTTTCCTCACCAAAACATGTTAGTGGGAAGAATATACTCTAAAACCTGTTCTTGAAGATGCTGGGTCTAACTATAAAACAGCTGTCACCACTGGCATTTCTCTGAACCTGGGGAGGTTGTAAGAAGGCCTGTCTCGGGAGGACAGTGGTGTGTCTCGAAGGCTGTTTTGCACCAAGGCTGCTACCATCATCTGTGCTGGAGCAAGGAAGGAAAAAGAATCTTGATTATTCAATTAAATGAATTTGTATCTGTTCTCAGCTAAACCTTCAAACAGAAATATGAAAGGAAGACATACCCATAGATAATGGTTATTTAAGCCATCTGCCTGTATAGCAATACCTTTGCACCTTCCCATTAGTGGGAATAATCAAACACCAACTGTGACTTCACATGTGTGTAATTGACTCAGAACTGCTCTATGTGACATATTTAAATTTCTATGTCTATTGTGATACTCTGAAAATAAAGTTTATTTGGGAAATAATTTTGTGAAAAATGTTTTGCATATGTATGTGTGTGGTGTTAGTGTGTGTATATTCACATATGTGGGGGCACAGATGTGTGTGAAGGTATATTTTTTCCCTGGATTTTTCCATCTAATACATGGAGGCAGGGTCTTGCTGAGCCTGGAGCTCTTCATTTTGGCTAGAAGCTTGCTCCAGGGGTTTCTGCTTCCCATGCAGTGGGGTTATAGGTAAGCCACTTTGCCCACTGGCTTTTTTTTTTTAATGTGATTCTGGTGTGCTGAACTTTATTCCCCAGATGCTCAAGGCAGGTGCTTTACCTTTATTTATCCCTTCAACCCTGATTGTGTGTGTGTGTGTGTGTGTGTGTGTGTGTGTGTGTGTGTGTGTGTTCAGGGAGTGTGTGTGTGTGTGTGTGTGTGTGTGTGTGTGTTCAGGGAAACAATATCAAAGCAGCTTTGCCACTTCCTCCCTCCCTCCCTTTTTGTGCATGCTGAGGATTGAGCCTTTTGCATGCTGAGCCATGACCTACACCTGTAGTTCCTCTCAAATTTTATCCTAAGTTTCTTGACAGACTGCAAAAGAAGGGCAGTAGGGGGAGATGGACAGAGTGACATGGTCTGTCTCTAAGCACCTGCTCTGTTGTGGTTTGTCCGGAAAGCTGTTGCTTCCAGTTAGCATAAAATCTGCAGCATTAAGGACAGTGGCTGATGGTGAATTTCACACAGGGCTTATGAGCAGGGGAACACAGGAGGGTGAATGTGATCACTGTTGTTTACATTTGGTACTTACATATGTGTAGCAGGTGGACATGATTTCTGCCTATTGAGGAAATTAGTGTCATCAAATGCCTTCTGTGGTTACACGGAATGCTAGGTTTGCACAAATAACAAGAAACAATGATTTCTGCTTCAGATGAAGCAATCAGCTATTTGGATTTTTGCAAATGGACTATACTTATTCATGAAGTAAAATTACATTCACAATGCTGTTTAGAGTTATGCAAGCTTCCTCTATTTACAAAACTTAATGTGTGTGTATGTGTGTGTATGTGTGTGTGTGTGTGTGTGTGTGTGTGTGTGTGTGTGTGTGTTGAGGGTGATTCTTGGTGTTTGAAAATTCTGAGGAGTTAATTTGATGGCATGTTATGGGGAAAATTCCTTTCACATTTTAGTATGGTTATTTTTAGTTAGCACTGTCATGAAAAGCCTGGGGAAAAATAACTTTTTCCCCCGCCAGAGGTACAGAGTACTTAAAAGTGGTCTTTTTGGACCAGAAAGGCCCTCTCCCACTCCACTCTGACAGTACACAGGCAGAAGACGCCCAGAAGCCCTAAGTCCACTACAATGAGCAAGTATGTGGTGGAGAGATGGGAGAGAAAGAGAGAAGCAGAACGGTTTGTGTACCATGATGAGAGGCAGAACTGGAGCCATGAGGGTGGTAAGGAACAGCCTGATGTGAGTGGGCTGTGCTGCCACCTGATGGTCATGGTGATGTCCTGGCATGTCTGGGTTCATGCCCCTGCAGAGGCAGAGGTCTTTGTCTATGTCCTTGGTTCACATTACCACCAAAGGGCATGAAGATGTCCCTGGCCTGGAACTGTGTAGAGCTGGCCACACCCCTCACCCACCACCAAACTGGCCTGGAGCTAGCCCTGGTGGCATGAGCCTGGGAGAGCTGGCCCCATACCGTGCCACCTCTGGCAGGAGGGCTGGCCACCCCACCACCACCGCCACCACCACCACCACCACCACACACACACACACACACACACACACACACACACACACACACACACCAGGGCAGCATGAGAGAGCTGGCGCTGGTGGCGTGGATGTAACACCCCTGGCTGACTGCAACACTCAGGAACTCGGGCATCTCACCTTGCCTGGGAAGTACTAGAGACCTGTCTACAGCCAGCCAGCCCTGGTGGTGTGAATGCAAAAGAGCCAGTCCGGCCTGTGCCAGTGATGAGAGCTGGCCCCATTTTTCTCCTGGGCCAAGTGGGAGAGCTGGTCCTGCCCTTTGCTGCAAAGTTGCAGCACTTGGGTGAGCGAGACTCTTCTCTCTGGAGATTTGGCCCTGGTGGTGCAGAAAAGCTGGCTTTTTTTTTTCCAAAGCGGCTGCAGGCAGAAGAGCTGGCCCCATCCCTCACCTGGCCTTGGTGGTGCAGGACATGGGAGAGCTGTTGGACTGACAAATTCAGCAACTACCCAGGCCCAGATACAGGGCTTTGAGCTGGCCCACCGCAACTCATGGACTCCTGCAGCATGTGAAGCCTATAGAACCAAAGCTATAGAATCTCAATGACAACAACAGGATGTTCCAGGGGAGTGAGGATCCAGTACTGATGATGTAGCAAAAGCCAGAGGCCTCTGCATGTCTCTCCCCAAGGGAAGGAGTTTTAGCAACATGCTTCCTTCTCTGGCTATCTGTAGTGTTCATATGAATATGATTTCTACATTCCCTTTAGTACCATGAAACCCACAAACCCTAACATATATAACAATATGAGTTGCCATGGGTTTGGAGTCTCTTTGGTGGGGCATTCTTTTTCCTCTGTCCTGGAAGTAGGATGATGGATGGATAGGTCAGCAGCACATGCTTTTCTGGCATGTGCAAGGACTCGAGTTCAAACTCTGGAACCACAGCAGTTACCATACTATCTGTCTTTCCTCCTTGCTCCTGTTCCCTCCAGTTCCTTGCTTCAGGGCTGCCAAAAGACATTATGAGCTTGGTTTCAGAGTTCAGCCCTCAGTTCAATTAGAGGCATCTTTGGTTCCTAAACATGGCAGGGATCTAACCATGGTTCCTTTCCTTAAGTACGTTAGGATCATACGTGGTATTTTAAAAGAGGGCATTAGCTAGGTGGTGGTGGTGTATGCTTGAATCCCAGCATGAACTCAGGACAACCAGGGCTACATAGTGAGACCCTGCCTCAAAAAAAAAAAAAAGAAAACGAAAAAAAGAAAGTAGGCATCGTTGATCCCTCTCCTCAAGAATTCAGATTAATTTGTGTTTCTGGTTTCTGTAATTGTTTTTGATCCACCTTGCTAGCTGATCCCAAAGAAGAAAACCCAGAAACATCAATTGGAGACAGTGAACTTTACCAGGCCCCTGCTCTTGAATGTAGGCCAGATTTTTTTTCTACAAATATTTTTCTTATATTTAGAAAGCAGCATGTAGATCATTGTTTTGAGAATCAACAGATAGCCAAAAAGACAAGCTATATGGGGTTACTATTTTCCCAGAGTTAAAAACATGTTCTAAATTTCTTGATCAAAAATTAGATGATTATGGAGAGAAAAAAAAAAAGATGATCAGAAAATTGTTTGTTTGTTTGTTTGTTTGTTTGTTTTGAGCTACAAGGAAGGAGAGAATTATAAGTATTAGGTTTTTCTGAAATTACTCTTTAATATTCTTTTTTTGAATTATCTACAGACCACATGTCTAGAAGAATTCATGGTCAGATTAACGGAAAAGTGAATTATTCACTTAATGTGGGGTGTGTATGTGCACATCCATGCAGTGTGTGTGTGAGAGTATGTAGCAAGATGATAAAAATTTTAGGATTTAGAGCATTTGGGGTCTGAGCTTTTCAGGTTAGGGATGCTATACTGATAATAATGACTGGGGAAATATTTTTTTTTAAGATTTAGTTATTTTTATTTTACACGTGTAGGTGTTTTGCCTACGAGCGTCTGTGCACCAGCAGTGTGCCTGGTGTCCTCGGAGGCCGGAAGAGGCCAGCAGATTCCTTGAAACTGAAGTTGGAGTTGCAGACTGCTGTGAGCCACCAACCAGCATGTGGGTGCTGGGAACCAAACCCGGGTTCTCTGGAAGAGCAGCCAGTGCTCTTAACCGCCGAGCCATCTAACTCCCCAGCCCCTTTACAACCCTGTGAAATCTGAAATACTTCGGATCTAGAGTGTTTCAGTAAGGGATGCCCACCCTGTAATGTGAAACATGCATGGCATCTTATACCAAATGTAGTAATATAAGTATTGTCTTTAGTACATGATTCCCTCTCTCTGAAAATGTGTCCTTACTACACAGTTAAAATTCCTTGTGTTCCTTAGCATCTATCATTCCATTCTTAGCCCGTATTTCAATGTTTTAATCACATGTAAATTTTGCTAGCAGCAACTTCTGATGCCAATGATGGCTTCTCTCCCTTAGCTGGATCTGTACAGCAAGGAGTGCCTCCTTTTCATATGCTTAGATCACGGCTAAAGAAGAAGCCTGTGCGATCTGGAAGGCTTAGCAATCGCCTGCGGCATCTTTCTTTACCACTTCTCTCTGTTCCTGTGCTGCTGGTAAAACTTCTGATATAAAATGGATGGCTGTGGCACACTCAGTAATTCTCACTTCTACCCCCTCCCTTGAGACATAGAAACAGGAAGGTCATGATTTCAAAGCCTCTTGAGGTAGATAGCAAGATCCTGTCACAGAGGCTGTTTTCACTTTGTGGTCCACTTGGTTTGAGAAAGGCTACTGCTGTGAGCACGAGTGTGGAGCTGTCCACACACCTTGGCCACCCTCCCACACACCACTAACTCCCCTGAGTGGAAGAAAGAGGAGGGATTGATGGAAGTGAGAGATAAGAAGTGAGTGTGACTAGAATGCATCATATACGTGTATGAATTTGTCAAACAAATTAATTAAAATAAAACAAGGACTGTTGTGCAGTGAACCTAACAGTGGGGAAAACTATCGTACTACATATTAACTATACTAAAAATAACTCAACTCTCCAAAAAAAGAAATATTAGAAACCCAACAAACATTGCCTAACTCTGAGAAAATAAACCATGAAGAGTTAATAGCTTTGGAGGTGTTGTTGCCATAGCAATAAAATGTTAGAAAATATTCAAGCAGAGCTGATTTACTGCTCAGTCTTAATGTAAGAATCAATTAGCTTCAACAAGCTGCTTAATTCTCTTTAAAGGCTGGGACACAAAGCAGAAAGCCTTGGCTACTACCACAGGAGCCAAGAAAAAAAAAAAAAAA